GGGAAAATACGGACCAAGGGTGTCCCAAATTTTCAATGGCAACTTTCGAGAGGGTTTGCTAACCAACCCAGGGCCCTTTTTAAACGGAGCCGGGGTCAGGAGGTATTTACCATTTCAATTTCCTCACTTTTTTCCAACTGCACTCATAAAAGAAGCAGAGGTGTTTGGTGGAAACATAGTCTCCCCAAACAAAGTGCTTTTTACTTCACGGATAAAAACGGGGGCGACCCGCACGCTTCTGCTTAAAAATAAAGGGAAGTCTCTCAGGGGGTTCTATTGTCCCGGTACCCCCCCCTTTGCAGCACGTTTAAAACGTACTAAACCGAGCACAAGAAAGGGGGACCCCCAAAAGGCCCGAAACTCGAAAAATGCCTGCCTGGGTTTTGGGGAAATAGAATGGGGAAGCGGGGTTTATAAACTAAAGTGAGAAGATGTGTAGGGCTCATCAATGGGGATGAAAAGGAACCTCACAAAAAGCAGTGGGGTGTGAGTAAAAAATCCCTTTTTGGGCCCGATAAAATTTGCCAGGAGGGTAGGGAAAAAAGGTGGTAAAAAAGGAAGGAAAATTTAAGAATGATGGGAAAAATTTTATCGCTTTTTCAGTAAGTCGGGTAAAAACAGCCCCGGGTTTAAGTTTATTTTGCAGTGGAGGAAGAGCAACTGATAGATCGATGAAAGAGAGAGTATGATAGGGGATCAAAAAGGGGTTTGGGGGGTCCCCATATTTAAAAAAGGAGGGGGTGAGGGGCCAAAAAAAAACCCCTCCAACTGAATGCCACGTAGAAACAATGAACCCCCCCAGAGGAAATGGGGGGCTTTAAAAATTTTCACCAAGTAAACAAAAATGGGGTGGAAGGGATGAAAACAAAAAAGGCAAAGTCTGGGATAAAAATGCTCGAGAAGGAGAGAAAAATAAAAAAGAACATATTGAAAAAACCATTTAATTCAAGTGGTAGGGGCTGCAGTGAAAAAGCAGCGAGGAAAGGAAAATGTTAAACAGAAAGGGAATTCATTGCGTAAAAAGGGCATTTTTCATTAAAGGTCCCATCAAAAAAAGGGAAATCCGAAAAAAAACAAAAAATTATAGCCTGAGATAGGTGGAAAAACAGCCAAATTTTAAAATTTTGGTTTTTGTAAAAAACCCCAACGGGGGAAAACCGGGGAAAGCAACATCTGAACTCACCCCAAATTCCCCCTGGGGGCCGGGCGGATATTCCACTTTTAAATGGGCCATTTTGGCGTTTGAAAAAATATCAGGAATTGTAGGAAAAAGGCCCCAAAGGAACTAGGGGGGGTTAAAAAAGGGTCAACGGGGGGTGGCATTGGAAGACGTTAAAAGAACCCGAAGGAACGGGGGCGTTGCGAAGAAGGGTTTTTGAAGATGGAGGAGGGGGGAAAAGAAAAGGGGAAACAGGAGGTGTCATGTCCTTGGGGTTTTTAGTCCTGCAATTTTAATTCTAAAATTTGGTTTCCCAATTTTTTTCTGAATTCAAAGGATGTATGGGAGACCATATTGGAGATAGAAGGAGGGGGGGGAGAAAAAGTTTGGGGGACAGTTTAAAGGGCTGTACCAAAGTAGAGGGGGAGGGAAAAAGTGTTTAAAGGGGCTGGAGAAAGAAGGTTTTGGGGGGGGGACAGAAGAAAAAAAGAAAAACCCGGGAGGGGCAGGGAAAAAGGGAGAAATTGGGAGGGGAAAGGGGGTGGAAGGATAGTTTCGAGGAGGAGGGGAATTCCCCCAAATTTGGGAATAGAGCCAGGGGAGAGGGGAAGAACTAGGACAGAGAAATGGAAAAAGGGAAAATGGGAGGTGGAAGAAGGGAAGGGAAGGGGGGAAAGGGAAAATTTTTAGCAATGTTTGGAAAATTTTTTGGGCTTCTGATAGAGGGCCCATTGGGATTTGGTGTCGTACGAGGGCTTTTCGATACTGGGGCTTGTGAGGAAGGACGCGAAGATTTAGAAAAAGACTGAGTTGTTAAATCCCGGGGCTTTAGAGCCAAGGACAGCAAAAGGAATTTAAAATGCCGTTTTTTTGGTATGGGGGGGGTTTAAAAACAAAAGGAGGGTGCAGAAGATGGGCCCCAGAAGGGGGGGGGTTTTTTGGAAAAAAACGAGAATAAAAAAACACGGGGGGAGTCCCCCCTTGGAGGCGGAGAAAAGGGGTAACTGCCATAGCATAAGGGGAAAACCTTCTGCCTCTTTGAGGCAAAGGGTTTCACGTTTATTTAAGGGAGACCTGGCAAGGGGGAAATACGAAGGGTGAGCTTCATTACAGTTAAGGCAGATGGAGGTTTTTACTGCCCAAAATGTATTTGAAAAAATCGTCGGCCCCCACAGACTGGGCATTCCCGGGCCCTAGAAACTTCAATATTTTGCTGGGTGACCCAAAAAGCCAGCAATTTTAAATTTTTGCAGTGTAGGAAAAAAACCCTTTCGAACTTGTAAACCCATGTCCCGGAAAATACAGAGGGCGGGAGTTCCCGGTGTCAAAAGTTAAAAGAGCCAAAAATTGCAAAGGGTAAAAAAAACTCCCCCCCCGGGGGAGGAAAGGGCATAAGTGTTACTTTGAGGGTTGGGGGATCCTGGGGTTCCAGCTGTTCAAAAATGTCATTTCCAAAATGAAAGGGGAAAATTTTTTGGGCTATGGTTTTGGGGGGCCCGAATGACGTACCCCTAAAAAGAATTGAGGGAAAGATGTTTTTTTTTAATAGTGATAGGAGAAATTTTTATTATTATTATTAAATCAAGGGGGAAAAAGCTAAACCCGGAAGGTTTATTAAAAGCGCCCGGGGGGGGGGATTTTGGAAGGCAATTCCCGGCTTTAAATTTGGGGAACTGGGGCCAGACCAATTCCCTAAATCAAGAGCCCTCACCAAAATCAAGGAACCCCTTTCCCTTTGGGGGGGGGATGGAGTATAAACCCAATTCGAAAGGAGAGAAAGAACTGAGCTTGGGGACATTCTGGACAGTGAAAGATGCACTAACCCCTCTTAGGCATGAAAAAGAAATATCTCTCCAAAATGAAGCAGGAGCGGGTTTGCCAATACTAGGGCGAAAATTTGGGAAAGAAGTCGGTCTTTTAAAAAAAGAATTTAACCAAATTTTTGGTCCAAAAAATGAGCGTGGAGAGGGGATGCTTGACGTGGGGGTCTTTTTTAGTAGAATTGGGGAAATAACGAAGGGCATCATCAGGAGATTGACGTTGGGGTTTAGGGGTAGGACCCGGAAATTTGGGCCCGGGGGTGAAAATGGGTGGGCGTTCGAAAAATTCCCTACCGTTTGAGGGGGGGAAGCCGGAAGCATAGCAAAGGAGAGCGGAGTCCCGACAAAACGAAGGAGTTTTAGTCGAAACCCCGGACCTGAACGGGTGAGGAAAAAAGCAAACCCGCAAGAGGTACGGGGCATCAGGAGTTCCCGAAATTTGGGCCCAAACACAAGGCAGGGTCAAAAAGGGGTGCGGGTATCAAGAAGGGGGCCCCCCGGGTTTGGGGGGTTCATGGACTAAAGGGGTGCCCTGGTTAGGTTAATTTCCCTTTTCTTTTTTTTTTTTAAGAAAAAAAAAAAAAAAAAGAAGGGAAAAAAAAATAATAAAAAAAAAAAATAAAAAAAAGGGGGGAAACGGGGGGAAAAGTTCCCGGAAAGGAAAGAAAGGGCCGGGGGAAAACTCCCTCCGCGCCCAAGAGGAAACCCCAAAACCGCTAGTAGCCAGATGCAGCAGGACCCGGGGCCATACCCCACCCTTCTGCCGTAAACCGCAATCCGGGGGGCAGCAACCTCACATCTGCCGAGCTACCCCCCGTGGGACAAAAAAAGAGGGTGACCGGATATCTGCCACAAAAACATCCCCCTTTCGGGGGCCCCCACCCCCGGGAATCCGAAAGGTGGCTTCCAGAGATCCCCCCGTCGCCCGAAAAGGGAACCCCAAAACTACTCCGGGGAAAACCGGGGGAGGGATGGGGCATCCCCAGGGAATCCCGTTTTCCCCGGGAAACCTTTCGCCACCGCCAAAAAAGAACCCCAACGGGAAAGGGGTGGACCCCCCCGGGGTCCTTTTTCCCCACCCCAGGAAAAATAGCCCCGGGCCCGTGGGGGGAAAAACCCCAAAAGGCCCCAAAAAAGGGGAAAGGGGAAAAAGGGGGGGGTAAGAGGAGGAGGGGGAAGGAAAAAAGGGGGGGGAGAGGGAAATGGGGGGTAATTAGGGTTTGGTCTTTAGGGAAAAAGACCGACAGGGCAAATTTCCTTTAACCAAGACCTCTTTTACCACGCCAAAAGGGGGCCCCCCCTTTAAGAGGGGGGCCAGTAGGGAGATGGTGGGGAAAAATTTATGCCTGAGCAAAAAAAAACGTGTGTTTACTGTGTTGCAATTTTAGGCAAAAGGTAACATTTACAAAGGAAATTTAAAACCAAAAAAATCCGAATTTGAGGGCCCCGGGGGTGGGGATTAAAAGTTTTTAAAAAAGTTGTTTGAACTGTATGCATGTAAGCTCTCAATAGTCAGCTGTTGAATGAGTGATAATGATTCATAAAAAAATGTGCACATGGGGAAAAAAAAAGATTTTAAAACAACGTTTCGGTCCGGGCTTGGACCTTTTTCAAAAAATCCCCAAATCGGACGTAAAAAGTCGTCGTAAGCTCCTCTCTTCTATGTGCCGGTTATTTGTGTATTGTTCCAGTCATGGTATTGTGCATTTTTGTTATTTAGTGATAAACTGATAATTTTTTAATGTGAATTCTGCTCTGTCCTTGGTAAATTCTTTCCACTTGAAATTAAACTTTGGCAAGTTTACATGAAAATTACGATTGTGTAATAAATTACTTTTAAAAATACATGTATACCAAAATATTCTGATTGAAATCTTAAGATTTTTTTTTTTTTAAATTAAGTGTTCTTATTTAAGTTAAAATAGTTTTAGTCCAGTACTTTACTAAGTGTCCTGTCAAGTGCTTCCAAGACACGACACTTTAGAATCTACAAAATAACACCTTGCAAAATCTACCAACAGCATATGACATGGTGGGTGATGCCGGGAGTCCCGGAGACGAAGGTGATCATGGAGACAAAGGAGATCAGGGTCCCACAGGTGAACCTGGCCAGTGCCCTGAAGAAACATGTTTTGTTGGACCACCAGGCAAGCCAGGACCTACAGGGGAACCAGGAAGCCAGGGGCCCAAAGGCGAGTGCTGTTATGGCATACGGGGTCCTCGGGGCCACAAAGGGGTTCCTGGTAAAAGTATTCCAGGTGTCCTAGGACCACCAGGATTCAGGGGTGACAAGGGAGATATGGGACGAACTACCTGGGGCTATGATGCAGACGTCCTTGGAACTCTTAATGTGCAGCAGTTTTCCTCCCTGAATGGATAATGACTGTACACAGTGATCACCCTGGGAGATACTACCGTCCTCTCACGCAAGTGTCAGTTTTGCATTCTGGTCAAATTGCTGTGCATTTTTTTATATTTCATGAGAATGTAAGATGCTAGGTAAAGCTTACAAATAATCTACTCATATTCAGTATCAATATGCACTTATCTTTACTCTCCTGTGTACTTCTTCATAGATTGTTGGAATCATTAACACAGTGGGACACCAAGTTCAAACTTGTATTTCTTGCATATTCAGAAACTTTGCTTTGATCCGCTGAAGAGTAAAAATAATTGAAATAAAGAATAATATTTCATGTAATATATATACATATATATTATATAATATATATATATATATATATATATATATATACTATATATATATAAAGTAAGACTAGGATAGTCATGACTTTGTGGGGAATGTATTGAATTAGTAAAACGTTGTGCTGAGCAGCAGTCAGGTGGCAGGTGGCGTTTATCTTGCCTCCGAAACTCTCTCCAGGAAAACTCCAGGTTAACATACATTCTAACACTCGCTAGTATTTATGTGCCTTATCAAGTACGAGAATGTAAATCCATATATCAATTAAGGCTAAGAGTTAAAACGTAGATGTTATGAACTGAGATTCCTATAAAACATGAAAGATTTTTGTGCCAATTTATGGCAGTATCATATATATATTCTAACACTCATTTCATCATATTCATTAATAATTATGTGCCTTATCATCCACCAAGATAAACCCAGGGATTATGGTTATGTCATCGCAATTAAGCGATGACATTCAGTGAAGGAAGAACAGTAAAATATTCTGACAGTTGTGGCAGCAGTGGAAGTCATGGTGGTGGCAGCCACAGCCATCCAGATGCATTACTCAATTATTCTTTTACAAAACTTATGAGAGCAGCAAATATTGGCAAATAATATAGCATTCTATTTTGCTGGATTACAATGAACGTAGCTACATCACTTGTACAACGGCTAGTCACCTGTACTGCTAGAACCCCAGTGGAAATAAGTCAGTCTGACTTTTTTGGGGTTATCCTAGGCTATGTATTATCTATGTAACTGTATTTGTGTATACCTGAATAAACTTACTCTTTATTAGATAACGTTTATATCTTTCATTTGCCGGAGAGTGCAAGTTACAAGTGTGATATTAATAACCATAATGTGTGTATATGCTGGTACATGATGAACATAATTAAGAATACGTAAAACAAGTGTTACGCTATCTCATGATATTGAAAAACTAAGTAAAATATCATATTTCTATAAGAATGTCATTCTGTCTGACTTTTTTGGGTTATCCTAGGTTCTCTACACATATGCTGCTATGTATGATAATTCTATGTAACTGTATTGTGTATACCTGAATAAATTTACTTACTTACTTACTTACTTATATTCTACCTCTCAGCATTACCTAATACATGATCCACATGCTCAACAGTAATGACAATAGAAGTTCAGAATATATTTTGATTTGATTTATACTCTCATTGTTCTTGTATTGTAAATTTTTCTTTATAAAACTTTGTATTTTCATGCTCAGTATATATGGACAAATTAAAGCTTCAGACACCCTTCTTTGTACTCACCGAATTGTGGTTTCAGGGGTCGAGACTGTGTGTGTGTTACCATTTTGTCCTAGGCCTGTGTGTCTTCTTTCAACAAACCGGCCATATCCCACCAAGGCAGGGTGGCCCAAAAAGAAAAACGAAGTGTCTTTTTTAACTTTAGTAATATATACAGAAGAAGGGGTTACTAGCCTCTTGCTCCCGGCATTTTAGTCGCCTCTTACGACACGTATGGCTTACAGAGACAGAATTCTCTTCCACTTCCCTGTGTGTGTTATCACCTAATTGTGGTTGCAGGAGTCGAGACTCAGCGCTTGGCCCCGCCTTTTCACTGATTGCTACTAGGTTCTCTCTCTCCCTGCTCCATGAGCTTTATCATACCTCGTCTTAAAGCTATGTATGCTGCCTGACAACTCTATGATTGATTACTTCCTAACATCCCTTCGACTCATCCGAGTCTTCAACTTCCAATTGTGACCCCTTGTTTCTGTGTACCCTCTCTGGAACATTCTGTCTCTGTCCACCTTATCTATTCCATGCAGTATTTCGTATGTCGTTATCATGTCTCCCCTAACTCTCCTGTCCTCCAGTGTCGTCAGGCCGATTTCCCTTAACCTTTCTTTGTAGGACATTCCCCTTACCTCTGGAACTAGCCTTGTTGCAAACCTTTGCACTTTCTCTAATTTCTTGACGTGCTTGACTAGGTGTGGATTCCAAACTGGTGCTGCATACTCCAGTATGGGCCTGACGTACACGGTGTATAGTGTCTTGAACGATTCTTTACTGAGGTATTGGAACGCTATTGTCAGGTTTGCCAGGTGCCCATACGCTACAGCAGTTATCTAGTTGATGTGTGCTTCCGGAGATGTGCTTGGTGTTATCTTTGGCCACCTAGCCTATACTCTGCAGTCTTCTTTGCCCTTCCCCAATCTTCATGACTTTGTATTTGGCGGGGTTAAATTCGAGGAGCCAGTTGCAGGACCACGTCTCCAGCCTGTCCAGGTCTCTGTAGTCCTGCCTGAGCTTCATCTGATTTAATTCTCCTCATCAACTTCACATCATCTGTGAACAGGGACACTTCAGAGTCTATCTCTGTCCCTTCTATCATGTCATTCACATATACCAAAAATAGCACTGGTCCTAGGACTGACCCCTGTGGGACCCTGCTTATCACAGGCACCCACTGTGATACCTCATCATGTACCATGACTCGTTGTTGCCTCCCTGTCAGGTATTCTCTGATCTATTGCAGTGCCCTTCCTGTTATACACGCCTGATCCTCTAGCTTCTGCACTAATCTCTTGTGAGGAACTGTGTCAAAGGCCTTCTTGCAGTCCAAGAAATTGCAATCAACCCACCCCTCTTTTTCATGTCTTCTGTTACTTCGTCATAAAACTCCAGAAGGTTTGTGACACATAATTTGCCTTCCATGAATCTGTGCCGGTTGTCGTTTATAATCTTGTTCCATTTCAGGTGCTCCACCACTCTACTGATAATCTTCTCCATGACTTTGCATACTATACACATCAGTGACACTGGTCTATAGTGCCTCATTTCTGTCTCCTTTCTTAAAAATTGGGAGTACATTTGCTGAGGGGAATCTTAGGCCTGTGTTCCATGTGCAAAATAATAATAGAACTTTTCTTTGTCAGAGGAAAGAAAGTCTCCCTGATAACATTGTGTATACATAGTGTATAGTGTATACTACAGTGGCTCCCTAGTATATAGATGATAAAGGCTAAAGTGTCATTTGAAAACAGGTGAATTTGTAAATGAAGTGATAAGCCTATAGAGGCAGGTGCCAGAAGTCGCCAGAATCTTACCACAGTGGTCAGCTGTTTTAATAATCTTCCTGGCCTGCTAGTGTACTCGCATATAATCTAGTGATACCAGTGAATATCAGAATACAGTGTTGTAGTAGCAACTAACCAGTATTATAATGGTACTTAGTGGAGTGGAGTGACTTTCATTAGTTTCTTTTTTCTTGAAATACCAGACGTATACTGTGATTTTCATATAACCTGTAGTTACCAGCGGTCGCAATATACACAACGAGAAGCAATTATTACTACAGAAAAAGCGTCCTTCCTCCAAAATTTCCACCAGTCAACTATATTGATAATATAGCATTTATTGTGGTGGAGACGAAAAAAAACTAGAAAAGCTAGATACAGCGATTGATAAACAAGGGTTGAGGCTCGGCCGTTCGTCACTGTAGGAGCTGCCAGAAATCACCGGTTCTTCAACAAGCAAGTTCTACTTTTGTATCAATCAAATCACATATTACTCGGGTAGATAATTTCAAGTAACCTTTCATTTTTAGCTAAAATACGACCAGTATTTTTTAAAATAAGTGACCCATGATAGATCAGACGGTTTCTAACCCTCGTGGTCCAAAACCCTTGACCGTTTCAAACGGATTCGTTAGACAATAAAGCAGACTGTAAACGATGGGTTGTAGGCGCCCTTATAAAACAAAAAACAAAAAATAAAAATCAGGAACGACAGGGAAAGCGTCCAATATACAAGTACGTTAGAAATAAAAATACAAATAGCTAGAGCTTCTTTAAGGGGTTTTTAGCAAATATTAAAGGGTTCAGTAAATTACAGTAAATCAACCATTCAAATCATTATGAAGCTCTGTGATCTTGCAGTAAATCAAACAAACGGGTTCCACAGGGAAAAATTTGGGTCTTTTTTGGGGAAAATTTTGGTGTCACGCCCTTGTCAGATACCCCAAGAACAGCTACAAGCGTATAAAACAGGGAAATGTTTTGGGTATGCCCCCAAATGAGATAAAAAACTGTGGACTAAAATCACAAATGTATTGAGAGGATAACATCAAAGCTGCTTTATAGAAAACCTGGAAGCTTTCTACAACAGTGGGAACATAAAAATTGGGGGTGAATGGTACTGCCCTTTATACTGGCCATGTAGTCAGAAAATGTAAGGCCGGAGGTGCGTATGGTAGACATAAGGGGGAAGCTGGAGGGCTGCCTGGGAGACAGTAATGGTGAAGCGGGATTTTTCCCCAATAGTCGGGATTATACGAGGAAGGAATACTATAAATGCCTCATAGGGGAAAGGAGCCCTAGTGGGGAAAAAAGTGTAGTCAAAGTAAGATAAAACCAATATTGCAAACTAGAAATACCACAGGAAATAGCAAACAAGAGGACTTCACTAGCAATAGTGAGGATATATTACCAAAACAACTGGTGGGAGCTCCATTGTTGGTGCTAGGGAGGATAGGAATAAGACAGAGAAACATGCACCATCAGGGAATACAGTCACAGAAACCCAAGGCAAAACGGAAACCAGCCTGTGCACATACTATGCACTTGGTATCTGCAGACATGGGAAATCTGGAAAAACAGACGGGACGTGCAACTATGACCACCCTAGAAAATGCCATGCCCATATGACAACAGGAAAATGCAAACTCCCTTCCTGTAAGCTTTTCACCCTGAAATGTGTACCTCTTCAGTACAGGAAAGACTGTGCTATAACTTAAATTGCCAGGCACACCATCTAAAGGGGACAAAAAGATACAAAACATCCAGGCCATGGGAAAACCTGGGTAGCCACAGCCACTCAAGAGGGAGAGGTTTTTTAGTGCCAGGAAGGAAAAAAAACTGGCAGGAAATGGCAGAAATCGTACACCAAATCCAGTCATTCCTGGAGTGGAACCACAGTCAATGGCCTCCACTCCAAACCAACAGATACAG